TGCATGCTGCGATTTCCGCCGATGAAGGCGCGGTGACGGTCGACGCATGGTTCCCGGATACCAGGGCCTCTTCGCACGCCACGCCCGATCCAACGATGATGACCCATTCCAAGCCAAATTCAGGCAGTGATGTGCTATGTGTGGGCAACGGTTCAGTTTGGGTATTTCTAATATTGGCCATGCAACGTTAAATTATGTGTCTAGACCGTTACAATTACACAATATCCTACATGTGCCTGATTTGTCTTTACAGTTATTGTCTGTTAACTGGTTCACTATTGACAATAATGTATTCTTTGAATTTCATCGTGATCATTTTCTTGTGAAGGACTATCAAACCAAGACGGTGCTCCTTAGGGGTCCTACCACGAGGGGTCTATATCGACGGTCATTGCCTCGGTCACATGTTGCGTTAATAACCGCTCGTGCTACGTCAGATGTTTGGCATCGCAGGCTTGGACATCCACATGAACGAGCCCAACTCCGTGTCTTACAAAAGTGTCCGGTCACTCCAACAAAATCAAGTGTGTTGCGGTTGTGTTCATCATGTCAACTCAGGAAATCGTCTCGTTTCCCGTTAGATAGAGTTATTTCCCGTAGTAATCAATGTACTCGACTTATTATACACTGATATTTGGTGGCTGGCACCCGTTATTTCTGCCGGGGGTTTTAGATATTTTGTTTTGTTTGTAGACAATCATTCACGGTTTTGTTGGTTTTACCCTTTGCGGTTAAAATTAGACATTTATAAAACTTTTGAGTCTTTTTGAGTCATGGTAGAACGCCAATTCTCGCGTTCTATCAAGTCTATCCAGTCCGATCTGGGGGGCGAGGGGGGGGGGGGGGGGGGAATACCACCGTTTACATACAATTTTTCAGTCCCTTTGCATCGTGCATATGCAGTCTTGTGCCTATACACATGAGCAGAATGGGCGAGTAGAGCGTCGAAACAGACATGTGGTTGAAACCGGGCTAGCCCTACTCGCAGAAATCTCAGTACCTTTGAAATACTAGGACTACGCTTTTGAAACTGCTTCCTATCTCATTAATTGTCTACCCTCGTCTGCACTAAATTACGTCAGTCCCTATGAGTCTGTCTACAACAAAACTCCACCATACCCCTATCTACGGCCCTACAATCGCCACAAGATAAAATACCGCTCTACACCCTGCATCTTCCTAGGTTATCCTGCGTCATATAGGAGTTATCGATGCATGGACCTAATAACTGGAAAGACCTTCATCTGTCGTTATGTCTGGTTTGATGAAAGTATTTTTCCCTATGCAACAGGTACACAAGGCGAGATGGTATCTAGTGCCTCGTGTAATACCGCACCATGGGCATCTGGTCCCTTAATACCATTCGAGCAGTCCACGGTGCTTCTTAATGAACCACCTTTGGCAGTTCATGTGCCGCCTTTATCAATCCAAGATCAACCAGGGGCTGCTACTGTCCCAGGTCGTGGACCCCGGGCTAGGTCACGGGTTCGGGCACAACTCCAAGAACGGGGTCATGTTATGCGTCTACGTCATATGACACGGGAAACTGACGAGCCCTTTCATGCTCTCACGGCCTCCGCGGACCCAACGTGCTACAGTCAGGCAGTTGGTCATCCTCAATGGAGAGATGCCATGAATCAAGAGTTCAATGCACTCCTACATAACAATACCTGGTGTAAAAGCAAGACTGGCATGAATATTGTTGGGTGTAAATGGGTATACCGCACTAAACAGAAGACCGATGGTACGATTGAACGACACAAGGCTCGCTTGGTTGCCAAGGGGTTCAATCAAGTAGCCGGCGAGGACTTCTTTAAGACTTTTAGTCCGATTGTCAAGCCGACCACGGTCCGCATCTTGCTCTCTCTTGCCGTGTCCCGTGGGTGGACTCTGCGGCAGCTTGATGTCTACAACGCCTTCTTAAATGGGCATCTTACAGAAACCGTATATATGCGTCAACCTCCCGATTATGAAGATCCCGTACATCCTGGTTATGTATGTTATCTACAGCGGTCCTTGTATGGTCTCAACCAGGCCCCGCGGGCCTGGTTTCAACGGCTCCATGAGATTCTCCTGACAACGGATTTTGTGGCCTCTAAAACTGATGTGTCCCTTTTTTATTACACATTAAGGCTCCGTTTGGAAAGCTGTAAAATGACTTTTGGAAAATGTTTTCAGGAAAATGAGTCATTTTCCTGAAAACATTTCCTTTTTCGGTGTTTGGCAACCCAACGTAAAACTATCTTTGTGTGTTTGGTTCATTTTCCAGAAAAATGAAAAGAATTGAATACTTCAAAATTTTAATTGTTTAATATTTTTGATAAAATCCTTCGGTGTATAAGCCTTGTAGATAATTTTGAACGTATATATATATATATATATATATATATATATATATATATATATATATATGTGTGTGTGTGTGTGTGTGTGTGTGTGTGTGTGTACTTTATATATATATATATATATATATATATATATATATATATATATATATATATATATATATATGTGTGTGTGTGTGTGTGTGTGTGTGTGTACTTTATAGTGTATATATATATATCATAAGTTAGGCATATATAATATTTAGTAATGTTCAACGAACTTCTTGCTTCTGCGCGTTTCAACTCTTTGAGGGACAAACTCAATGTTGTGTCTCCACCACCTTCAGCTTGAGGGGGTGTGTTAGTAGTGTTACATTATTGGTACACTTATATGTAACATTATTCTTGTACATGTAGAGTTGATTTAGTCCTGTAACCTTTAGCTATTATGTAGGGTTAGTTAGATAAGCCTTCTATCTCTTTTGTATCTCCGTAACAGTCTGAGTTTGAATCAACGTAAATCATTCACTCATCGTCATGAGTTCAAGCCTCTAGACGATTGACATGTAAAAATGGGAGGTCATTAGTTCAAGCCTCTGGACGATTGGGAGGTCATGAGTTATTGAGTTCAAGCTTCTGAACGATATTTTCAGTAGGTTAAGAAATTATATAAATACCATTTAATTGCCAAAGATTTTGTCCCATTTGGGAGGTCATGAATTCAAGCGTCAAGCCTCTAGAGTGGGAAGTCATGAGTTCAAGTCTCTAGACGATATTTCCAGTATGTTAAGAAATTTTATATGAACAAATATTACATTTAATAGGGTCAATAGTATTCAAAAAATAATAATAATAAGATTTAATTAAAATTAATTTTAAAATAATTAAATAATTTAAATAAACATTAATACAAAGTTTTAAAGTTAATAATTAGTTTGAATAATTAAAAACAAAATTATTATAAGTTTAAAAACTCAAAAATGATAAAAACTGCTACTTCTAAGCTACTGACAGGTCTCTAAATCTTCGAATGAGTAAAAATGTGTAAATTATATTTAGTACCTTGACTATGCAATTTTTATCAATTTTGGTCACTCTGATCAAATTGCTAACCAAATTTCACCGGAAAAACTTAATTCATCAATTAGGGTATAATCTGAGGAATAAAATCGTCTTTTAAAATGTGGTACGAATTAAGCAAATTTCGGTTGACCCAATTCAACGAGAATTGGCCAACTAGATGCATAATCGACCCAAGACTCGCCCGGCCAGTACTCCGTTAAGGGAGCAAAGAAAATGGCGCTCTTAGCATTACAATGCGTCAGCTCCAATGCAAAGGACATACCCAAAATGCCGGCCATTATTGACTCTGGTGAGCCTTCAACACCTAAGCGATATGGCTGTTGCGTGTGGACAGTGGTCACCGCCGTCTCCAGAATCCGCCAAAGGCGCTGTTTTTTCTCCCAAAGGGAAAAAGGACATGAACGGAAACCGCGATTTCAAGAACTCATCCCTCGCCCCAAAACCAAAACCAATTAATTTAAGTCATATAATTTCCAAATAAGTATTTGTCATATATATTGAGTGTATATGTAAATATATATCCAGTTTGGTCAATTCTCCCTGAAATTGGTCAATTGAAATTTGTTTAATTCAGAATACAGTTCAAAAGACAATTTTACTCGTATTATACACTAATTGATGAATTAAGTTTTTTTCGCGAAATTTGGTCGATAATTTGGCCGAAATAACCGAAATTAATAAAAATTGAATAGTTAAGTTACTAAATTAATACTTTTAAAAGTCGTGGACAGCAATTAACATGACCCATATAATCACAGAACCAAAATTGAAATTTACTCATCTTCGAATGGTCTCTACCCCATTTGGTGGTGGGAACTAGGCAGGGGTAACCTAGCATGTTAATCCTATTTAATAACTTTACATGTGCGTACATACATAAAGTTCTCAGAGGACAATGGGATAAAATTAGGGAAGTTCTCACAGGACAATGGGATAAAATTAGGGATGGCAATATGCTGTTCCCGTTGGGGATCCCCGGCCCCGTAGGGGACAAGGACGGGGACGGGAAAAAATTTTGGAGATTGGGAACGGGAATGGGGAATTTTTAAAACTCCCCAGCGGGAACGGGGATACCCTCCCCGTCCCGCCTCGTCCCCGAATAATTATTATAACTAAATTTTTTTTAAATTAGGACTTATGTTTTTATTTTTTAAAATTAAAAATTACATTAATTTTAGATTTTGACTAAGAGTTGATCGGGGACGGGGATGGGGACTATTTTTAATTCCCCGTCGGAGATGGGGAGGGACGGAGTCGGGGTTTCGGGGACGAGGACGGGGAGTATACTCCCTACCCCCGCCTCACCTCGCCCCGTTGTCATCCCTAGATAAAATAAAGAAGCAATTGAGGGGCAAGTTGGTTTGCTAGATATGGAGTATCCACCAAATGGGATTGACCACTTTTAGCAACTAATTATATGGATTCAATGTGACTCGGTCACACACTTTTTAAATAATACAACATTTGGTGGTGAGAATTATGAAGGGGCAACCTAGCATGTTAAGCGTATTTGATAACTAATACTTAAGTAGTTCAATTACCATATTATCTTTAAACAAGAAGCACCAAGAACAAAATCAAAATAGAGATTACCTTTGCAGCCAAAAGGTCCTGCTCTGCCAGTCCAATGGCCATATTGCACAGGAAGATCACAATTAACCAAATTGACCTAAAAAAAACAATTTAAACTGGTTAGGTTTGTGATGGCATCAAATGATAGAGATGAGAGTACTGAGAAAGAAGGCTATACATGTGATTGGTCACATCCCCGAGCAAGAAGATCCGTTGATATAAGAACTTGTGTAAGATCTTCCTTCAACTCGTTGATAATTTTATCTCTGTCTTCTTGCTTCAGAGCACCTTGAATTGTTGAAACCTAATAGCCATAGCCAAGAGATTTAAACAACATATGAGAACTGTTTCTGGTACGAAAATAGATAATTGTCTGCCCCACCTTTCGCGCCAATTCAAGTATTTTATCCTTAATCACCATGACCTCTGAAAGTTCATCAGGGCATTGTCCCTTATTCTGCTTCACAGACTCCAGTGAAAGTTCTTCCTTCTTTACAACAAGATGATTGTAATCTTTTACAAAGAGGTCTTTAACAATTTTCGGCACAAAACCCTCGACAGTTCCATTTAAGGTTGCGGAAAACAGGAGCACCTGGTATTATATTACCATAATATAAAGTTATCCGTGTAAGACTGTAAGTTATAATAAAAGCAAAAGTTTTATAGAGGTACAATATCACATTAGAATTATTTGTTGATTAAAAAAAGAAAAAAATAAGTTTATACAGCTCTTTTACCTGTAAAATATTATACCTATAAGATATCTTTCTTTTTTTTTTTTTTTTTTTTTTTTTTTTTTGAAACACACAAGTGGAAATAACTATAGGGTATCTAAAAGAAAACAAGTACGTACTCCAGTCTCAACTTCTCTAAAATACATAATATGCATTCTCAAGGTCTAGCTCTACCACCAATGAAGCAAAAAAGCAACACATCATACACAACTTGTAGGCCAACAAGACGTCATATTTGTTTAGTTGATAGCCAAACTAAGACGATCGGTACTAAAGCTTGGTTGAGTCACTAGTAGCATGCAAAAGACATCTTGTGGTGTGGGGGGTGCTTAACTGCTTACTAATCAATAATTGAATAAACAAAAAACAGAACTATCAAATAATAACTATATGGAAGACGTGATTCTTAACACATTAGAAATTAAACTTCATGTTAGAATAATCTGATCACTAACCTGGCAATTGGCTTTGCCTCTGACAATAGCCTTCATTATTTTTATGGAGTCATCCTGAAAGCCACTCTGCATTGTTGGGGAGATATCAAGATGTTAGTTGTTAGGTGGAAAAATCTCAAAAAAATAATCCTACGAAAAGATTATTATTATATGGGAAAACAGAAAAAATTGAGAAGGAAAAAGTAGAAAAATCCCAAAATAATAATCCTACGGAAAGATTATTATTATATAGGAAAGCAGAAAAAACTGGGAAGGAAAATGTGGAAAATTTGGGTAAAGGTTAGCACGAGTTTGAACGCAATGTTCTTTTCCTTAAAACCTTGGCCTAGGTTTTACGTTCCCGATGTTCCCGGCAAACAAAGCAAAGCTATAGGGTTGTTGGAATTTGATTTGCACCCCGTAAGAGAGCCTCTATGCTATACAATTCTACAAGCTGCAAAAGAGCTCTTGTATAAAAGGGGGGCAAATCCTCTTTCCAAACCAATGTGGGACAAAGCTCACTTTTCCCCTTCATTTTCCAACTCAAATGGGTCTACTTTGAGAATCAATATTTCATTCACTCATTATCCGTTTTGAGCGTACAAATATATCAATCTCTTCGTCTCACTAAGAAGAACCTGAATCCACTTTGACTCGACCCAAATCGGAAGTGGACCCCACTGATAATTGTACCCCCAAATAACCACTTAATATGTCATTTTATGTCATTTTAAGCTATTTTTTCCAACATTAGTTGCCATTGTTTTGGAGACCAATCATTGGTGAACACATTCAACACATTGAAATCATCAACAAGAACTCAATTTGCACTCCAGCTAAATCAATTTAATCACCCGAGTAGAAGCAATCCATGCATGCCAGGCATTGCCAGCTTTTATCATTTTGGTTGGTAATTCTGGTAATTCAAAAATTCAATTTACTAAATCAAGAAATTGGCTCCTCAGACATCTGGCCATCTGGGGTCTCTTACCCTTCTAGAATGCAATGATCAAATGAACAACTTCACCAAAACTTTTGCCGGCATAGAACTTAAGTACAAAGTATAAACTAAAAGCACTTTCTGCGGATGTTTCTCACAGAAAATACATTTACCTCTGCTAACATGTTGTCTGCCTCATCAAACACAAGAATCTTCATACAACTTGTGCCCAGCTTCTTTGCTACGACCCACTTATGTATGGTTCCAGGGGTACCAATTATAACTTGAGCTGTAACAGGAGGTCGTTTATTTATTGGAATATAGTTGGCAGGATCTGCTGGTATTGCCAATTCTGATGTTATACCAGTATACTTCCCCATCTTCAACATAACTTCTATATTCTGCAACCAAAGTCTAAATCAATTGCCAACTTCTTATATAGTAATAAACTATCTGAGCATTAGTGAGTTAATTTTCATTCCAATAATCTACTATATAAACATTAGTCCATAACAAGTCAATCTCAAAAAGCTTGGATCTTGGAATGCTAACAAGGCTTGCAAACAGTCACACATGACCCACCTGAATGGCACGTTCTCTAGTGGGACAAATACAGAGAGCCTGAGGGGCAGCGAGCTTGGGATCAACTCGGCTCAACATTCCAAGCACAAAGCACGTCGTCTTACCGGATCCATTGTGAGCCTGGGCAATAAGATTCTTGTTCGGCGGAGTGAGTATCATAGGCAGACAGATTCCCTGAATTTTACTCAGCCTCTCAAACTTCATCTCCACATATAATCCCTTCAGCAACTCCGGAGTCAAGTTCAAGTCTTCGAACCTTTTGGCGGATTTATACAAAGTATCGCCAGATGTAACCTAATGTGCAGAGAAAAGCTAATTAAATCCTAGCTTAGCCAGCCTTGAGGTCAGAACCGCAAACAAACTTACTCGCAATTAAGCATAAACACTAGTAGAGAAAGAGGGAAAGAGTGCTTACAGCTTCGATACTGGCGTCGTCAGGGTCAGAGAGGGTTTTGTAGACACTTTTGGACTCATCCATGGCTAGAGAGTCCATACTGGAGGTCGATGATGCCTCCGCTTCCTCCGTCTCGTCTGCTACGTCGGCCAAACACTTACTCAGCTGAGGTTTCGTCTCATCCTCCATCGCCAAGGCGGCGGCGGCGGCGCAAGTACTGTTGTCGGCCATTGGAACTCGAGATAGTCTCCTTTATATAATGTAAGCATGGCAACTCTTGTTGACTTGTTCAAGGTAAACGTAGAACTCAAGAAAGATAATATTGAAAAGAGTTTATTACGAAAATCATCCCTCCACAGTTGTGAAATTATTAACTTAGTCCTTAATAATTTTTTGTGCTCAATTAAATTTTCAATTTTGTAAATATTAATCAATTTGATCCTTCGTTTATTTTGTCGTGTAAAATATTCGTTAATTTGATATTAAATTGATAATTTTTGTTATAGTCAATGGACCATTTTAATTATTAACTTTCAGAAAAAAATAGTGTATGTTATGATCGAAATGGTCTTTTGACCATAGCAAAATTACCAATTTCGACCGGAGTCAACAAATGTCTAACGGCAAAATAAATGAATGGCCAAATTAGTTAACATTTTCAAAATTGATGACATAATTATACACGAAAAATTATATATATATATATATATAAATATATATATATCTACTAAACTAATAAGAGTCCAAGAGAGTTAGGCCTATAATAGGAAGAAAAATGGCGGTCAAATTTTTCAATCAAATGAATGGCTCAGATTGATCAGATTTTAATTTTTCCCTAAGATTTTCTAATTTATCATCAATGAATATGATTATCCGTTAACTTTTCCGTTAAATATGATCTTTTTCGTTAATTTTTGTTAGTTCACCGTTAACTTACACATTGATTTCAATAAGAAATGTCTTAGGCTCAAACTCCATCCCAATCAAAGTTGGCATAATTAGTACTCTATTTTACTCTTATTAAATTTGGTACTCTATTTTACTCTTATTAAATTAAATAATAATTTAGTAGCTACAACAAAAAATCATATATATGCATTTCTTTAATTTAGAATTATGTGTCTACAATGTCTTTATAAAAAAAAATTATTCATTATCAATAAATTAAATAAGAGAAATAATTTCATTAGTTATTAGGGCTGTGCATAACCGAAGGAATCCGACAAACCCGCCCGGTCCGAAATCCGCAACACAGCATCTGACCCGATCTGTATCCGAAGAAGCGTTACCCGAACCGAAGGCTTAAACGACGTCGGATTAGAGGGTTCGGGATAGGGTAGTGTAAAATCGCATCCGACCCGCCCGAAATATATTAGGATTTTCACACCCCTAGTACTACACGACGTCGTATTAGCTAAGTATATAAGCGTATGTTGATCAACTCATTTACCCTAGCTCTTCATTTGCGCAGTCGCAGACCTGAGACCTCAGCTTCTCTACTCTCTACTCTCTAGACTCTTCGTCTCTTCTCTAAGACTCTGAGTTCTCTGGTCTGATCTTCTCACTTCTTACTTCTTAGTTCTCTAATTCTCTCAGTTTATGGGACTCTAACTCAGAGTTTGATCTCTTCTCCTCTCTTGTTCTCCGATGGTCTCTCTCTGAGTCTCTGTTACTTTAGAACCCTAGTTCTAAAGTCTAAATCTCTCGAATCTCAGACATCTTCGAGACTACGATAGTCCGATTGTCCAGTTCTCCGGTGGACGGTGGTGGAAGCCCTTCTCGTGGTGATTACAGAGTAGAGACCCTTGTTTTCCGGGGAATATTCAGGGGAAATCAAGTAAAGCTGAAACCCTAGTTTTTATATTTATGATTTGTTGATTTTATTCACTGCATGTTGAGTTGTTTGTGTTGTATTGTGAATATGTTATATTTTTTTTTGTGGAAGTTATTGTAACCGCAAACCCTAGTTTTTTTTTTTTTTAATGTATGATTTATTGATTTTAGTCACTGGCTCATTGAATGTTGATTTGTTTGTGTTGTATTATGAATATCAGAATATGTTATATTATAATGGTGGAAGCCCTTAACTATGACTTGTGATATATTCTGATTATCTTATGTTTTGAATCTTCTGATGGTGGAAGCCCTTAACTGAAAAGTGTTGTGATTATCCGATGTTTTGTGATGTACTGATGTTATATTGTTATGTGATCTATTCTGAAATCTGAATTGTGATGTCCCTTAAAAAGTTAAAGGCTTAAATCTGAAATGGTGGAAGCCCTTAACTGAAATCCAGATAATGATGAACTGGATAAAGTTCCTGAATCTAGATTTCTTTGTGAATATGTTTATGGATGTATGACCCTTAAATGTTCTTAACTGTTTGTGCATAATGTAAATATGTAAATGTAATATTATGAAATCTGGATAGATGATGACACAAATAAGTGTCTGAATCTGGATTTCTTTCAATTGTTTGTATGCTTGATTGCTTTATCTGTTATTCTGTATGACAAACAATTGTTTGAAATCTGAATGTTGATGCCCATCTTTTTAGATGGAGAGCATCAGTCAACCTAGTTCTGGACCACAACCTTCAACTCAGGAGGGAAAAGGACAACCCCAAGGCACTGAGATACCTCAGCAGCCTCAGGTGACTCCTGTTGTTCCACATAAAAAGAGAAAAGAGGTTGAGTCCAGATCCAGGGTGTGGGAGCACTTTGTAAATATACATGATAAAGAGAACAATCTGATTGAGGGGAGGTGCATATATTGTTCTAAGATATTTTGTTGTCAGCCAAAAAAACATGGCACTTCCTCTTTAAGAAATCATATGGTGGTTTATCTTAAAAATCCTCACTCGAACGATACAAGGCAATCACTTCTGACTTTCAATGCTGTCTCATCCTCTGTACCAAGGGGTTCTGAAGGGGTAATGGGGGAATTAGGCACATGGGTGTTTAACCAGGAAGCCATTAGGAGGGCTTTGTGTGAGATGATTATAATAGATATGTTGCCCTTTAGGTTTGTTGATGGGATAGGGTTTAGGCGATTTATTCTAGTTGCCTGCCCAAGGTTCCAAATCCCTTCTAGGTGGACAGTTTCAAGGGATATTTTCCAAAGATACCTAGATGAGAGATCAGTCCTTAAACAAATTTTTAAGGATTGTTCCCAAAGAGTCATCTTAACCACTGACACATGGACCTCTGTACAGAGGATAAACTACATGTGCATTACTGCACATTTCATTGATGATCAGTGGAAGCTCAACAAAAAAAATCATAGCCTTTGTCCCTGTTTCATCTCATAGGGGAGAGTATATAGCCAAGGCCTTGGAGACTTGTTTGGTTGAGTGGGGTATTAAGAATGTTTTTACTATCACAGTTGACAATGCCTCTTCCAATGATACTGCCATGGGATTTTTTAAGAGTAAGTTGATGTCTTGGGGTACCACTTCTGTAAGGTCTAAGTACATTCACATGAGGTGTATAGCCCACATTCTGAATCTGATGGTGCAAGATGGGTTGAAGTTTGCTGATATTTCAGTTAAGAGGGTTAGGGAAGTAGTTAGATGGGTTAGGAACTCCCCTGCAAGGCTAAAAAAAATTAGAGATCTTGCTGAACTTATTGGGGTGGAAGCCAAATCAGCTTTGCAGCTGGATGTTCCTACAAAATGGAATAGCACATTTATGATGTTGAACACTGCAATCCAGTACCAGGCAGTCTTTGATGCCTATTTGGGAAATGATCCCTCATTTTCTGATGACCTTGGTACCTCTGTGCCTACTTTTATGGATTGGTTTGATGTGAAAGTTTGGTAACTCTGCTAAAAACTTTCTATGACATGACTGTGAGAATTTCTGGTTCTCTTTATGTGACATCTAACACTTTCTTCAGTGAGACTCTGTTAGTTGCATGTTAGTTGACATGACTGGTGGTGAATCTGGATCTGAAAAGGTAAATTCCATTCCTGTTAAAGTGTTAACTGTTTAACAAATCTTTCTATTTAACTGTTAATTCTTTGCTTTTTTTTTTTACAGGAAATGGGCACCTAAATAAAAACTAAGTTTCTGAAATATTGGGGGGACCCTGAAAAAATGAACTGTGTGATCTTCTTTGGCACTATTTTGGATCCTAGAAATAAGGTTGAGTACATGCCTGCCCAGTTAACTCAACTTTATGGTGATGATAAAGGCAAAGCCTATTTTGAGAAGGTCCAATCTGCACTTCTTGAGCTGTACAATGATTATGCTGCCACTTACTCTGTGGATGTGAACACTGAACCAGCTGCCGTTGCCCAACCTTCTCAAACTGTGAGTGTGCAGCCTAGTGCTGTAACTGTTGGTAGGCCACAAGGTAAGTTGAAAAGTCAATTGAAAAGGCAAAGGATGGAGAGTGGTGGAAGCCTTAAACAGACTGACTTGCAAATATATTTGAGTGAGGCCATTGTGGAAGATAAGGTTGATTTTGATATCCTAAAATGGTGGAAGGTGAACTCTGAAAGACTGCCAATTCTCTCTAAAATGGCAAGGGATATTCTTGCAGTTCCAATATCCACTGTGGCTTCTGAAAGTGCTTTTTCAACCAGTGGTAGAGTGTTGGATCCATTTAGGAGTTCCTTAACTCCTAAGATTGTGGTAGCTTTAATTTGTACACATTATTGGTTGAGATTACCAAATCAACCTATACAAATTGAAGAAAATATTGATGATTGTGAAAGGCTTGAAAAAGGTAATTAACTACTACTTAAATACTTTCATTATTATGTATTTTTTTTATGATACTTAATATGTGTTTTTTATGTGCAGAGTTGCCAACTGGAGTTAGGACTACTGGAACTTCCCTACCAACCATTGCAGTAATGTTCATTCATTCTACTCTCAGTTTTATATTTAGCTGTTATTCTGTTCTCTTAGAAAATTAGATTATCATTCTGTTATGAGTTATGGCTTATGAATTCAATTATGGAAGTGTTTTTTACTGCCTCAGCCCCTTCCACAGTTCCACTTGATTGAACATTTGAACATCAGGTTACAGGCTTACAGCTTGACAGGTATGTGCAGTAGTATGGGCTATGATGATGCTTCCACCTTTGTCTGAATCAAAGGACTTGGGGTTGGTATGTTGCTCAAGTTTTGGATTTTGTTCCAAAACTTTAGAAGCAATTTCCCTCAAATCTTAATGATATGAAAACACAGCAATCTGAGCCTGTTTTGGATTTTTGAGCCAAAAATGTTAAACTGTTATTTTTTCAGTTTTTTTCTTTTTGTTATTTGTTATTTAAGTTTGCACCTTAAGCAGGAAGATGAGGAATGCTGAGTGCCTGAGTTGTTGGTTTGCTGAGTTGCTGTTGCTGCATTTAGTTTTTGAATGGTGCCTTAACAACTGATTTTTTGAGAATTTGAATCTGTAAACTGTTTTTGAATTGTAACTTGTAAGTTGTAAGCTGTAAAGTTGTTAGCTTCATTAACTTGTAACAAGTTACTTGTTAGCTGTTAGCCTGTTAGGGGCATTAGGCATAGCCGAATATGGCTAACTTTTAAGTTGTGAACTTGTGATTTTGAAGTTGTAAATTGTTAACTACTAGTAGTTACTACTTACTACTTAGAAGTTAACAAGTTACAACTTAATTAGTGTTGATTTACTTATTTAGTAGTTAATTTGTAGTTTTTATGAATTTTTTATTCATATCCGATTTAGTCCGAAATCCGATGTAAACTGTCCGTAATCCGAGTTTTACATATCCGATAAGTTTACACTTAGAAAATAAACGGATAGGGTTTAATAGTTGTAATCTGAAAACCGAACGGATTCTCATTCCCGAAAACCGAACCTGCCTGATCCGTCCAATGCACAGCCCAATTAGTTATATTTTCTTTATTTTTCTCGAATATAAAAATTCTTTACATTCAAATTCATCAATTGATTATATTCACTACATGGTCCCTACAATGCCTTTATTAAAAAAATAATAAATTATTCATTATCAATAAATTAATTAAGAGAAATAATTTTATTAGTTATATTGTCTTTATTTTTCTCCAATTAAAAATTCTTTACATTCAAATTCATCAATTGATTATATTCACTACATTGTCTATTATATATTTTGTGCACTATTTTTTTAAAATAAATATCAAAGTTATAATACAAAATAATGCTATATATTTATTTACCAAGTATTTTATTAATACCATGAAAAAATTTTAAAAAATATAATTAATAAAGCCAATCATATTAACCACTTAAGGGATTTGTTGACAAAGAGAGTATTCAAATCACACAACAAATTGAAGTGAGAACTATCTCACAATGTCTTTGTTTGACCAGCCCTATATGGATTATAGTTCCAAACATGATAATAACAAATTAAACATTCTTCCAAAAGGCTGAACCCCAACCCTAAGGGCCCCCCACACTCCGACCCGACAGAGCATTTGGGAGGATGTAAATCATGGTAACTCAACTGAACATGAACCACAGAGGCTAGACCGATGCTCACTGCGCGCAAGGAACCCCCTTACTTTGAGAGGTAGCTCCCACACTGCCGCTGGTGAGACTCGATCCCTGATCATTCTTACAAATTAAACATTAATAGTACATTAAGTGGGAGCTAAAAATTTTAAAAGAAATAGAAAGTTTTAAAAAATAATTTTGCAAAGTTCCATTGATATGATAGATTGAAGGGGTACATAAATACCTAGATTAAGTAATGCCAGAAAAAGACGGTGCATATTTACTTCCACAGGAATAAATTAGTTGTGAAGTAAGAGACAACATTTAATTGTTTTATAATTCATAGAATACATATCAATGTAATGAAGCTCTTATATATATTCTGCAACTGAGATAGGACTCCCTCTGAACTGAAAAGCTCACTAGCCCAAGATACTCAGATACAAATATTAACAAATTAGTGCCTGCAAAACACTTAATCACTTATAGTCACATATACAAATGAAAATTGAAAAGAATGTAAAATCTTGATAATGCTCTTTATATGCTTAACAAGCTCAGAATCAGAAGACTATTCATGCGAATGCTCTGCAATTTACAAGCAATCAAGCACAACCCAAGTCCACAAATATCCAGTACTCATACGACTAAAACTAAGAAATCAAAAATTGAAAATGACGGGATGAAGCAATTACCAGGAACATTGTATAAGCCAGAGATTATGATATAAGGTTCTATATACATATATTACAAAATCACACAGAATCTGCAACCAGATGATAATATAAGGATCTATAAAAATACATATATTACAAGCAAAAATAAAAATTAAAAAAAAAACTTTAAAAAAAAATAAAAAAGGAGTGCATCTCTTGGATTCCTTGGACGAAATTCTGAATTGAATTATGCAAAATATCAACACCACATAAAGGAGCTGTAGACATCACTAAATTTAATATCTTTTCTTGTAGTCAACAGCAAATAATTTCACTTCCGCTTTAGATTTCATCAAAGCAAACTACCAAAAAAAAAAAAAAAAAAAAAAGAGGGAGGAATACGTAAAACAGTAACTTCTCCGTTTTTCTTCTACACCGAAAAATTACAGGAAGATAAAACTCACGAGTCGAGGAAATAATATATAAATTGATGCGAAAATGGTGAGGATCATGTTCCAACAGGCTGTGCATCTCGTCTGTGAAATGAAGCAAATAGCACTAAATTTCGGGCTCAACTCATTTGAAGAAGACGGCTATTCCGCAAAGCTACTGGGAAACGAAACCGTAGAAGATGGCGATTCTGAGCTCGACTCATTTGCTACTTCCATTGAAAAAACTCATAACCAATCAACAAAACCCTACAACTTGCTATCACTGAGAGATAGAGAGCTCCTGTGAGCAGATGAGATAAAAAGAAGGGATGGAGTGGTTGCTAACTTTTCCCTAAATGGCGATATGAATAGTTGGAGAAAGAAGAAGACCACGGGGAAGAATTGAAGAAAACAATCATAATGGCAAAGTTGTAAATTTATAAAAAGTGGGGTGCCATTTTTCAAGGACAAATTGCAATTCTCAATTATAACTATAGGGGCGATAATAATAATAATAATAATAATAATAATAATAATAATAATAAATTAATAATAATAATAATTTTTTTTTTTTGAAAGTTACTGGTTCTATTACATTGTAGAATCTGTTCATATACTTTCTCAACCTACTGAAACACAAAGAACCAATAACGCCTCCACTGAGGCCCGAACTCATAATCTTCCAAATGGAAGTCCAACCCGGGTACCATTATAATAATAATAATAATTGTTTTAAAAAATAAAAAATATATATAATTAAGTCAATCATATTAACTACTTGGGCGCTTTATTGACAAAAAGGGTATTCAAATCACACAACAAATTGAAGTGGGAAACTATCTCGCAATGTTCTTGTTTGGCAATTAGCAGTGAGCTCTTCAATATTAGTATATATTTAATATTTTATGCCCTAATTTTTATTTGCACTCCCTTATGTCTCGTATTTGATTTCAATCATACCTATACAATTATTTTATTGACAATTATAATCAATATTGACTATATTATCTTGCATTTGTAAACTTAGAATTACCTATTTAAATACGCAAATTTAACATTCAATTATCTATGCATGAACAATTCTAATATAATCTTGCCTTGATATACTTTAAAGTACTTATTAAAAAACACATTGGGCATTATCCCAATCGCGCAATGCGCATAAAAAAACTAGTATATACATATATAGGGAAGGGATCATGTGTGGGTGGTACTTCCCGTGCGGTTGTGCGGGTGGACTCACATTAAGCATTACACTCGCGCACTTTAAGTACACAACAGACGCACATTAAACACCCAAACAAAATACATTCAGAACACAAACTCATGCACCTTAAGCACAACCCTCACGCACCTTAAGCACAGCCCTCACGCACCTTAAGTTTTACAACAACTCACATTAAGTACACACTCACGCACATTAAGTACAAAATCACGCACCTTAAACACAAGACTAACGCACCTTAAGCACAAAACTCATGCAATTTAAAGTTTCAACAACAAATCACATTAAGTACACACGCACGCACATTAAGCACACAACTCAGGCACCTTAGGTACAAGACTCACGCACCTTAAGTACAAAACCCACGCACATTAAGCACTACACACTCACACACATTAAGCAAAAATCTCACGCATCTTAAACACAAGACTCACGTACATTAAGTACAAAACTCATGCACATTAATCACTTGCACAACCGCACGGGAAGCATTCACCCGCACTAGAACTTAAACATATATATATATATATATATATATATATATATATATATATATATATATATATATATTTTTTTTTTTGGGGTACCCAGGCCAAAGCCATTTGCACCAAGCTCGGTTTCTCAGACTGGGTCCGGGGTTGAGGCAGTTGGCTTTAGTGGCGGAATTTGGGTTTTTTGGAAAGCCCCGCTGCAAATATCAATCTTATTTACTCACACCCAATTCATCTTAATGCAGTTCCAGAAATCGGACCATCCACCGTGGATTTTAGCATCAGTTTACGGAAGCTCGGCCCACCACCTCCGCCGCCGACTTTGGCGTGATCTCAGACAATCGATGGGGCGGTGCCACCGGGCCCTGGCTAGTCGCTGGGGATTTTAACTCTGTCCTAACTAGGAAGGAAACTTATAATTACAATTCTTATTCTACACACAGAAGCTCTGACTTTGTAAACTGGTTGCAGGATGAAGGGCTTATTGACTTGGGTTTCTCCGGCCCAAGACTCACCTGGTCAAAGACGGATCACAGGAAACCGTCAAGGGGCCCTGGATCGTGCCGTGTGCAACGCTGAATGGCGTACCAGATTCCCAGGTGCGTGTGTCACTCACTTGGCCCGGATTGCTTCTGACCATGCACCACTATTGAGCCAGGTTGAGGGAGAACGCCAGGCTAACCCTTCTACACACTTCGTTTTCCAGGCAGCTTGGCTTTCCCATGCTGATGTGCATGAAGTGACCAAGCAAACTTGGCGGACTGATCGCAGCATCACGGAGAACACCCATTGCCTTGCTAATAGCCCTGCTAAGTGGAATAAAACGAATTTCGGTAATGTTTTCAAAAGCAAAAGGGTCTTGATGGCTCGATTGGGTGGGATCCAAAAAGCTTTGGCGGTGAGCTATCACAGAGGCCTTGTCAGGCTTGAAGCAAAGCTAAGAGAAAACCTGGAAGAAATTCTGCAATAGGAGGAGCTAATCTGGTTTAAGAGATCCAGGGAAGAGTGGATCAATTCGGGGGATAGAAATACTGCCTTCTATCACGCCGCAGCTACGATCCGAACGTCAAGAAATTTTGTTTCAAGGCTCATGGACGAGAATGGGGTCTGGCTGACAAGTGATCACCAGCTCTAAAATTACATCAGGAGCTACTATATCCAGCTATTCTCAGCAGACACCTAGAATTCAAGCTTAACATCTTAAAGACTTATCCTAAAGGCATTAACCTAGGGTCGAACTTAGGCTATGATACCAACTGTAACACCCCCGATTTTCAGGCATATTTTAAAACAATTAAACCTTACGAAATAAGAACAAATCTATCATTAATACCAAAATAAGAGGAAGGTAAACAAGATAGTTGGGGGTGCTATGCCACATCTAAGCTTGAGAACCTAGATGCACAAACTACAAACTAACTAATCAAGATCCATAATCATCCGAATACAAAATGGCTCACATGCCGTCCGACTAAAGCTAACTACTAACTAAACTAGGAACCACAGCTCCGTCTAGCGCGCTCACGAGCCAACTAATCTGTACCTAAAAAACATATGGTGTACCAACCGTTAGCGAATAATGCTAAGTAACACATGCCCACGTGTTGAGTACAATATATATAGATATAAGAAAACGATTTTGAGACTTGAGAATACATAGATATAGTCCTAACAATTCTACCTTTAAAACCAAGACATTGACTCATTAGAGGATGCACACATCAACATACTCAAACTCGTGACATACCAGTAAAACTAACACCATAAGACAACATTAAGGCACATGAATAACAAACCATGACCACAGGACACGTCCATGTTCCAACCTTATACCAAGTTCCAACCTTTACACCCTCCATCCTTATAACAGTTCCAACATGTACCTCCGAGACCACCCTGTACGCCAGTCCAACCTTATCCCTCCAGAGCAATGCTCTCCACCTACTTTTCCACTCATCAATTTTTACCACCAATCTTAGCACACCCAGTGCCATAAACCTGATTGTACCGCAGTGCAATAATCTAAGCACACGCATTGCCATAAACCTGATTGTACGCATCACAAAAATCTAAGCACACGCAGTGCCATAAACCTGATTGCACCACAACACAATAATCTAAGCACACGCAGTGCCATAACATAGGTACCGCAGCACCATAACATAAGATAAATGCACTGCAGCGCAATGTCGTAAGCATACGCAGTGTAGTATACCACCAATCTTATATCTTTTATTCAACCAATCTTAAATCTTTTATCAATCATGGACATCAATACAACATTCAGGACTCAACAATGACTTCAACAATGAGATAACCGGGGAAGGGTACAACATACGTGCAAACTCACAATGACAAGTGCCATCAAGACAACCATAAAACTCAGCATAGACCATACTTTAAACCAACGAGGTACAAGTTTAGACCACGTGCTTAATTCAAGACTCACAAATCCTATTATGGTACTTAGGACATCCTTCTAGACTTACAAACATCAAGGATGACACTTCGGGGCACGCGGATCGACCAAATAGAGCCCAACCAATCACCGTGTTGCACGTACCAGCGGGTGGACAGCCACCCGCTGGCGGACCACCTTGTTCCAGCGGGTGGTCCGGCGGGTGGTTGTCCACTCGCCAGCCACTCGCTGGAACTTCACTCCCCGTCTGGCGGGTGGTCAGGTGGGGGTTTGTCCCCACTACCGACTACCCGCTGGAACAACCCTTCTTGGCAATTTTTCCACTTCGGGGATTCACCAATTTTTCCCAAAATCAATTTCAAACACACCAAAACTCACATCAACAATTATAGGGACTTGAATACATAGAACAACCCAAAGAATAACATTATTGAACCCTAAACACAAGCTCTAAACGTGCCTTAACACAAGAGTATGCATACAGTTACCGCAAGATCATCAAGAACATCAAGACTATCAAGAAGCCACAATATGAACCCTAATTACAAGTTCTAAATATGCATAGACACAAGAATATGCATACAATTACCCCAAGATCATCAAGAACATCAAGAATATAAAGAGATCCCAATATAAACCCTAAATACAAGCTCTAACAAGGCAAAATCGCAAGATAACGCATTCCATCATTCAAGGATTCAAATAAATCATAACATAGCAAGGAAAATAGGTTTTGTAAGACATGTTTTACCTTTTAGCTTAATTAAACCTCTCACGATTCTTAAGATCCTTCTTCAAGGTCCTTTTCCAATTGATCTTTCCTAAGCTTGGTGATGGAAAATTCTTTGACTATATTTTGGGGAAGGATTTTCGAGAGATAGAGAGAGAGAGATTAGTGAAAAAGGGTTCTAAATTCTTTCTAATTCCTTTTAAATAGATTTAGGATTCCCTATTAGAGTCTGAGAGGTAGATGGGCCCTCCCTGTTTATTCTAACGGACTCAAAGGTTCTATTATAGACAAGGGTCCACGGTCCACCGTGGACCATATCAATAATTTAAGGGGTTCTAGGCCAAATTAATTCCTTTAAATTGCTTTTAATGGACATCATTAAAATGATGATGAGGCGACTCAAGAATTAATTAAATAATTAATTCGGGTTTGAAGGGTAAAATTACGGGGTGTTACACTAGAGGAAAAATATCTTCATCAATTGTTGGTTCTTTGCAA